GCGTACACGGACCTATAAACCAGTCATCCAGGCCTGCAGCAGAAAGACTGGCAGGTTAGGACCTTTCGGGGTGTAGGCACTGAAGGCAGACACCCTGATGCTCAAAGGGCCATTCAAACCACAACTGGGTCCTGGGAATATGCAAGAGCCAGAAGGATATAGGAAGGAAATAGAAAACAGACAGACAGACAAACAAGGAATCGTTACCCAGTCCTTAACTGATTTTCCATTTTGGGAGCTGGCACACAGGATTTCTAGGAACCTTTCCTGATGTACCGAGGAGGGGTGCCCGCCCCCGTGTCCATTCTTGTCCAACTCTGCTGCTCACTATGGACAGGGCGAGTCATGGACCTGGCTCACCACTCAGGATCTCAGACTCAAGGTGGATCAGGAAAGAGACTTAAAGAACTGGTGCTGATTTGGGGACATAAAAGAACAAGTATTGCTTCGTTGGTGACTTGGGCATTTGCCTTACAGCCATAATATTGAGTCTATGCTATTAAAATCACTTCTGCAAGGCACCTATGTAGCACTGAGTAGGTCTGCAGGAACCAGATTTGCTGGGTTCTTAGTGAACATTCTTCCTTAAGCTCTGCAGACTGTAGGAGTCTCTGTATTGATATAAAAAGTCATCAGCTGCTCTTTTTGCTACTGATCACCTTAGTCACCCTTCCATCCCTGCCACAAATACCTAAGGCGATCAACTCACAGTGCAGCCATTGTGACTCAGCTGTGGAGCTTCTCGTCCATGGTTGTCTGGCACTTTTGCTTTTGGGGGTCCTCATCCAATCAGAGCAGAGCAGAGCTCATCCACTCAGAGCAGAGCAGAGCTCATCCACTCAGGTCCAGGAAGAAAGAAAGGAAGGTAAAGGGGCCCCAACATCTCCTTTGCAGGCAGGTCCCCGGTGATCTGAAGACTTCCCACTGTCCCACCTCCACCATCTTCCATACACTGAGCTTGAGTCCACATTGGTAAAGGGCACAAAGGCCTTGTACTCTCAGAGAAGAACCAAGAGAACCTGGAATGTTTCTCAGTGCAGGAGATAAAATCAAATACCTGCATTCCACCCAGAAAGCTTAGAGGTTGTTAATGACATGGTGACAATTTTGATGTCTGAAGGGACAGACCTAACTAACCCAGATTTCCCCAGAATGATTATTCCAGACTCTTTCCTCTGAGTGCTTCTCTGTAAGGACAAGACCCTCATGCCCTCCACATCACCTCCATTCTAAGTTTTTAAAGAAAAATCAGCTGCCATGATAGAGGTCATGGCAGAATACATTGTCTCCATGGCTTGTCTAATTACTATAGGCAAGCATAAGAGAATTATAAGGCAATTCCAACAAAATGAGATGTCCCAAGAAACAGCAGTTAACCCCCAAATGATACTGTCACATTTAATGACTGTTGCATGTTAATTGTTGTCCATGCAGAATCCAAATGCCTTTTGTCAATGGGGATAAAGGACAAACCTGTGGCGGAGACACATGACACTGCTTTGCCATGCTAAGGATTGTTTACAAAGGTGGAACAGGCCCTGTCACACCCATTTTGCTCGCAGCAAAAATATTAGCCGAAGTGAAGAGATGTGTGGTTGAGGATGCCTTTCCCCTTTCCTTGGTCCTCTCCTAGTTATCATAATTCTCTTGTGCTTGTCTGTTTTATTGAACACCCAAATTGGAATGATTATGGGAATTATTGTTGCCTAGAGACCCTTTTCCAAATTCTATTCTGTTTAAATATGCCTACAATGAACTGCCTGGTATTAGACTCCCCAAAGTCTGATCCAGGCTGACAAAGTTAATCCGCACTGGGTTTTCATTTCATCTCTTTGTGTGGTTTGCTTCCCTGTATGACACCTGCAGGAATCCCCCTCACACACCTGCAGCATGTGAACCTTTAGGGGAACGTTCCAGATTTAGGTTTTAGCGAGTCTTTAAAGTACCTAGCAATATAGCAATATTTGCATATTAATAGTGATAGTGAATGTCTCTTTATTCTTGGGTAGAGGAGACAGAGACCCTTCAGCCAATAGCCTTTAAGATACCGGCCCACTTTGGGCGTGGTCCCATGTATTACAAAAGCAGGTGAAAAGCATGCACAGGCCTCTTGGCTGCTCTTGGTTCCAGTTCCCAGTGCACACAGAGAACTGTGGATCGCTACTCTTCCTGTGAGTTTATCCCCAGATAAATAAACCTTTGCTATCCCCTATTCTGGGCTACTGTGGACTCTTTTGTACACCAACAGACACCTGCTACTACCATAGGTGTGGAAAGCTGCCGTGAGATTATGAACTTGAACACCTCCCACTCTGTGACAGAATTATGACAAGTATGGGCAAATAATGGGCGTTCACATCTGGACAACCATTTCTCTTGAGAAGATGATTTTTGTTTTTGAAATATTTAAAAAGTGCCATTGGCATCCATTTATAGATGCTTTGTGGATTTTAGTAGATACTTCTGTCATTTAATCATGAAGTCATTTGTATGAGTTGTTTTATATTTTTCTCTATAAGTCCAGATAAAATGTATATTTTTTTTTAAAAAAAAGATAGTTCATCAAAATGGGTGCCAGACATATGGCTTAAGCCGGGCAGTTTTCATGGGAAAGCGGGAAGAGTTGATGGAAAATGTAAGAAGCACAAGGCATCACCAACCCCTGTGATCACATGATTATGTAAGAGGATTCAGTTCAATATATATTTCCTGACACTGAGTATTGAACCCAAGGATCTTCACAAGGAAGGCAAAGTTTTAAAAACCCAAAGTAGTTAGAGTCCACTACTTCTGAATTGTTTCAGATCACAGCAGATTTCCAAATTCTTTAATGGTGTAAATGTAATAATACCTAATCTGGATCATGATCTCATGTACACTACATAGCAGCAAATACTAACTGGTCCAAAATTCATCAATGCAATATCAGTTGTTCATGCATTCTAAAACCACAGTAAATCATGTCCTGGTATTGAGATCTGGGGTATACGAACCTTAGGAACCTATTGAGAAACTTGTTATTCCATCAAATAGGTCTGTAAAAGATCATTTTATTACTTTCATAGAAGCTGAAAAGATATTTAAAAAATTCACATGAATTCCATACAAACATGAAAGAGGCTGGAGGTGGAACTCAGGACAGAGCCTCATAGAAAGCTCACTACCCTGCAGGAAAAGAAAAGGTGATGGTGCAGTGCGCGGGTACTTTGACATGCACGTCCTTCCCTACACTGCTTGTGAGACTAAAGGACAACTCAGGCGACAGACAGATTTAGTCCAACATGAAACCACTACATAGTGGTTAAACAGCTGTGTGAAATGTTGACCAGCCACCCAAAAGGCTCAGATTAAAGACTGACCATGCTTAACAATGGTGGCCCATCAAGGGCTCTTACATATTGCTGGTAGGAACTGAGGATCCCACGGCCACATTGTAACAAGCAGCTAAGCATCTTCCTAAGCAGACACCCCAGGCATCTCACCCATTCTGCTCCCAGCTCCTGAAGAGGAGACTTGTCTAGGAATGCCCCCAGCACCTTTATTCACAATAGTTCTCAACTGGAAGCAATCTAAACATCCAGTACAATGGGAGCCACACAACAGTAAGGAAGTGCGAACTCTACATCCAGACATGTAGATGAATCTCAGTCATGCTGGCTGGAGGGGAGCCAGAAAAAAAGGAAAAAAAAAAGCGTTGTTTAAGCTCCATGTCTTCAGATTCCACAAGAAGTCTGTGGTTGCTAGGGATGGGATCAAGAAAGCTTTTGCAAACTGATGCGTTCCTTATTTGTTGTGTTCCTTGGGTGTTTGCTTGCATGTGTTCAAAGTTGGCAAAGTATATACAAAACACAATCCAAAGAACCAATTAAAAATAGGATCGTGTCCAAAGACCACCAAAAGAGACTTGAAGACACCTCCTTCTGTGAAACCTAGGGCAATTTGGGTGCTGCAGTAATTAAGCAAGATGATAAAGATAAACTCAGAATCCATGAAGCCATGCTTAGAGAGGATGGAATCATGGCTGGAGATGGTATACATTTTTAAAAATTATGTTTCTTGTGCCTAATAAAGAATGAAAATGGGTTAAAGTTACTGTACTAAAACCACAGTAAAAATGATTGACACATCCTAAATCAAGGGGGCAGGCTGAGCACAGACGGACAGAAAGAGGACATTTATACAGACTCAAAGTCTGCCCACACAAATTAATACCAGATACAAACAATACACAGAACTGGACGCACACAGAAGGGAAAGAAAGCGGGTAACACCTTCGAAGAATGTACTAAGTGTCTCTGGAAATTATTAATATTAATATTGCCAGAATGAAAATATATACTTTATAAGGTTAGCATCTAACACGTCACAACACATTTGAAATAGGAAGTTTCCTGACCGGTAATCATGAGCCCTCAGCTTTTAAAATACAGAAATATAGAAAAAACATCGACCATATGAAATTTGGTACGCCTGTCTTGACAATCTTCTAAAATTGTGATTGAGATAAAATTGAGGAAGCAAGGGACGTGGCTCAACCGATATAGAGCTTGCCTAGAACACACCAACCGGGCTTCCATCCCCAGCAGTACAGCGTTCCAAAAGTCAGAAAGCAGAGGAAAGAGAGTCTGAAATTTTAGGTCATCGTTGACTACACAGCTAATCTGAGACCAGTCTAGACTAGAAAAGACCTCCTCCCACCCACCCAACCACCCAGACAGACAGAACAACCACAAAGAAAAGAAGAAAAAAAGAAAAGAAAAGAAAAGGAAAGGAAAGAAAAGAAAACAAACTTATATCCGTCTATCCATCCATCCCATCCATCTAGGAGCCAACTGAAGCGCGACACGTAGAACCGGTCTGCAGAGCAGGCAGCTTGAGCTCCAGAGAGCTACTGACGCTGGGAGCACTGCTCCCCAGGGTCGCCGCGCGGCCGCTGGGTTCTTAGCGGCAGTTGAGCTAGAGGCTCGCGCACCGAGGCATCCACAGCATCCTCCGGCGCTGCCGCTCGCGCATGCGCAGTTAGCAGTCGCTGCTGGGCGGCTGCCGCCTGGAGCCAGGATCGGTCTGGGAGACGCCGGGGACCGAGTAGTGGCCAGTCGGACACCTGAGCTGCCGCTGCCGGACACAAACCCGCAGGACAGGTGTGTGATCTGCGGGGCCGGGGTGAGGAATCGGGTCCGGATACTCGGACCGCACCCCGTTCTGGGACTAGAAGGTTCAACTGGGGCCAGGTGAGGTTGGAGGTTGAGTTCAAGGATGGAGGTGCAGCGAGCTCTTGTCTTGGGTGAGCTCTCCCAGCCTCCGGGACAGAGATCAGCCCTTGGTGGAGGGAGCCCCACTTCGAGTCCCTTGGGTCCCCCACCTGCTGCCCCGACGCCGGGGAAGGCCGGGTGCCCTGCTCAGCCTGGGGCCCCTGGAGTCCGTTATCCCAGCGGTTGCCACTGTGGTCCCGTTCCACGGAGCCCTGGCCACGCTCCCAGGAGAGTTCTTCGCACTTTTCTAGAAAACGCAAGCAAAACCAACTTTGGCTCCTCATAAGTAGCCCACTTCTGTGCAATCTATCTCTGCGAAGCAAAAGGACCCCACCACCACCACCACCCGGTGAAGGTGGCCAGAGAGCCCTGGCCGCTACCTAGACACTTGGGTGGAGCCTAGCGTGGGCCCCTGGGGAGGGAGCCTAAGTGTGTTGAAGTCATTATCTAAAGCCTGTTTACTATCAATCAGAGACTTTAGTGAACTTAAGTGGCATCTGCCCCACCCGGGAGGGAGAGGCTCTGCAGAGGTTTCTTCTGGGTTAAAAATTAGATGGCTAGGAAGCTGAGTGTTGGAGACAGAAGGTTAAAAACAGAAACGAACAAATTAGGTGAAGCAACACGCTCAATGGGAAGACATTTTGGAACATGGTTAACGTATATTGAAACTTTTCGATGCATGAAATAGTAAATCGTGGTGTTTTGTTTTGTTTACTTGCTTGCTTGCCCTGGAATTTTTACCTCTCTCTAAGTAGCTCTCCTTTTGGCAGTTGTGATTTTGACGGCTTTCTTGTCCTCGTCTGTTGGTGTAATCATCTCGTCACGTCGACCTGTGCCCTGTGCTTTTCTAGTCCGGCCAGGATGGTTTCTAGTGTGTCAATGGCGGCATGTGTTGATGTATGGCGCTGATGGATGCCTTTGTGGCAGGGATTCTTTCAGCGCCTCATAATTTTCCTTCTTAACTGCGCAATTAGAAAACTGGACCCATCGGCTCTGATAGGACTTCAGCTCAGGTCACTCAAGCCCCTCACTTCGCAGGTGAGAAGAGGCCCAGAGTGATTGCCCAGGTCCATTGCCCTCTGGACAGCAGTGCTAGCGACTGCGAAGGCAGCAAGGCCAGGAAGCGGCTACTGTCGTTCTGCAGTGAGCTTCTCAAGCCACGTGAATCAGGTTTCCACCCTCACTCCCCAGGTACACCAACCATGCCTGATACTTCAGTCAGCCTTAGACCTGAACATAGGCAAAAGTCCCCAGTTATGAGAGGAGCCATTTATAGGAGTGTGAGTGTATGAAAAGGGAAGTTCTGGGCTGGAGAGATGGCTCAGTGGTTAAGAACACACACGGCTCTTGCGGAGGGTCCTGAAATCAGTTCCCAGCACCCATATCAGATACTCACAACCTGTAATTCCGGTTCCAGGGCATCCGTGCCCTTTCCTGACCTCTTCTGATACCTACGCACATGTTTATATAACAACACAGCAGACACACACGTATACAAAATTAAAGTCTTAAAAAATATGTAGGCGAACACTCAGAATGAAGACTCAGTCTTGGAAGGAGCGGTCTATGCTAAGGACTACTGACAATGTTTTAAACAGGGCTCAGGTTAAGAATTGTTGCTAGGAAACGCCAGGCTTGCAAGAAGGCAGGGGCTGGTTCTGAAGGTTAGCGAGAGTAGAAAGGACTCAGTGACAGCTAGGAATATCTGTCAGGGAGGTCATGTCCCTAACGAAGGCTGAGGCATGAAAAATTCATTCCACAAATGTCCTCCTAATGAGCTTGGTTAGCAGAGACCCCAGGGGACGGATGGTGCTGTACTATGTCAGCTCTGCTTTATTTTCTGGTGGACTCCTTCCCAGCCCAAGTCCATACACTTAGGACTGCTTTGGCTGAAGAGAGGAGATGCTACAGAAAAGGGAAATAAACCAGGCACAGTGATGCACACCCCTAATCCCAGCACTCAGAAGGCAGAGGCAGGTGGAGCTCTGTGATTTCGAGGCCAGCTTGGTCTACACATTAAGTTCTAGGACAGCAAAGACTAAACAGAGAGATCCTGCCTCAAAAATCAAAACTAAAAATTACATTTATTTATTTGTGGGTGGGGTGGTTGAACACTTGGTACGTGTGTGGCGGTCAGAGGCCAGCTTTGGGGAATCAGTTTTCTCTGATGTGGGTCCTGGGGATTAACCTAGGTTTTCAGGCCATCTTGATGGGCACAGTAAGCATATTTCACCTCAGAGGAAAGAGCAAGTTCAAGTTAAAGATGTTGAGTCATCTTTGAGAGTGAATAATTCCTCAGAACTGAAGAGTGACCTCTGAACTGTAAAGTTCGGGAATCTTCAGATAGCTTTCACAGGAAGCAAAAAATATATATAGGACAACAACAAAGCGTGGTGGTGAACGCTTGCAGTCCCGGTGCTGGGGAGGCAGAGAGCCCCTGGATCCCTGGGCACAGGCATTATGAGAAATACCGTGGAAGCATCTCAGAAATTAAAAACAGAATTGTCATATGATCAAGTGATCAGGTATATATCCCCTTTATTAATTCTCTTGTTGCTGAGACATAATGCTAGATAAATGCAACTTAAGGAGAGAAGGCTTTTTCTGGCTTACAGTCTGCAGGATTACAGTCCGTGCTGCTGAGAAGACATGGCGGCAAGAGAGGAGCCTGCAGTCAGGAAGCAGAGAGAGATGAAAACTGGTGCTCAGCTCACTTTCTCCTTTTCCTTCCAGTTTGGGGCCCCAGCCCATGGGTTGCCATCTTCACTAAGAATGAGTCTTCATACCTCAATCAACACATGCTAGAAATCCCCGTGAGCAGGCCCACCCAGAAACTCTCCTCTGCATGAGTCTAGGTTCTATCAAGTGGGCAATACTGCCATCCAGAAACTTCTAAAGTCATATTGATACTCTTTAAAAATTTTTTACATCTATTTATTTACCCATGTGTGTGTTGTCTCCCCATAAAGATGGCAGTGCCTGAATACAGAAAGCATCTATTAAGGTGGATTTCTGTTTAGTGGTTTTGAAAATGTGCATTTTCAAAGTATACACTCAACCTTTAAGAGAAATCAAGCTTGTCTGGCCCAGACATTAATCTAAAGTTTTGATCTGAAAAGGTGTTGTATCAGTTCGACTAGCTAGGTAGAATAATGCTTTCTGTGATGTCTTACTATCAAGTTCAACTTATTATGTGTAATTATATTTAGAATTGGGTAACCATTACCAAATTCCAATATTGGATATTTCCTCACCCTAAGTGCCCTTTAGCTGCCCCCAAGCCTTATCGCCTGCTCTAGCTGGTGTCTCATCTGTTCTCCAGTTCTTGATTTCTCATTTCCCTAAGATGAAATGGTACAACAGTCTTCCTAGCTGGCTTTTCCCTAGGCATAATAGTTTTGCATCTGTGCATCCTTGTATGAGTGTTCTGTATTTTCTGTTGTTGGATGCTTTTCTATGGCACGCGTGCTCCAACTTACATCTGTGCACTCATGAGCTGAGGGGCATTTGAAGAGCTCTACATTTGAGTTGGTGCAAGGAGTGTATTTCATGGCTTGTATCTGCGTATCTGTGAGGATATAAGTTTTATTTTGGCTATCCTTGAGTGGAATCCCTGGGTCATGTTGAAACCTGCCATATTATTTCCCACCTCTGTTAGTATGGTACCTTGCACACTTCAACAGTGTGTGAGGATTCCACTTTCTCCGATTTATGTGATTTTCAATGGTCGTTTTTTGATAATAGCAATTCTGGTGACTGCAGCACCATCATCTTTCTTAAGTGGTCCCATATCTGTCCATATCTGTCTATTGTCTGCACAGTTTCAGAGTTCTAAGAATCTACTTTAAAAATGTCCCCATGTTGATGTTAGCTTTGAGGAAAGAGTAACATACATGATGATGATGTGTTATTTATTATATGACTGCTTCTGAATCAATGACTCTTAACTCTCTCAGTGCCAACAGTATTCAAAAGTCTGTTGGCACCAAGGGGGAGATCTTGAATTAGCATATGCTAATGAGAGTGGGTGAGAACATAATTACACAAATCAAGCCCTTCTGCTAAGAGGACAACAGGTTGCGTTTGGCATTTTTCCTAGCAGAAGGAACAGCAGTTATGCAGCGCCTGAAGAGACCTGTGGTCAGATGTGATGGCCATGGAATTAGAGAAACAGTGAGTTTAGAAGAGTGTGGTCCCTGGCAGACAACTTGCTACAGCATGGAATTTGATTTTTGGAAAAACACTATTATGTTAAATGTAAAAATCCCTTTGTTTTTAGTGTTTAGCTGTAAGTGGATTCTAGCTTTATAATTATCAAATATCTAATTTTGTATTTACTTAAACTACATTATTTGAGATAATATAAGTAAGAATTTAGGCATCATTATAGCTTTTTTCTTGTCGATGAATCAACATATTATTTGCATTTGATAGATGCTGTTGAGGCATCTTTATATTTTTATACCATTCACTCTTCTCTTTGATTTTGGAAGAAAACTTAGAACTGCAAATCTGAAGTTGTTTTACTTGTTCAAGGCTTAATTTAAATGATGTTGCTGGCAATGAAAACATCCCAGAATAAAGGAGAAATTGTTTATTCCTATGGTTCTTACCACAGGGCATCCATGCCTGACTTTTCACTGTCTGCTTTAATTTCACAGGTAGTCACTATGCGTTTCCAAGGTGTTGGACTGTGCTTGGGTCTTCTGGTCATCACTGTCAATGCAGAGCTCGTGAATGATGGTGTTGAGGTGGAAGACTTCAGTGAGAATTCAGAAGAGAGTAATAGTAAAGAAGACGAACCTTCCTCAGGGGTAAGACGGTTGAGACGTGAGTTGTAAGCTTTTTTTCCCATGGTCATAGGAGTGACAGGTCTCTCTAGACACACTCCCTTCCTTCTGACCGGGTCAGTCTTCTCAGTGCATAGGAAAGTGTTGCTTTTCCATCAGTGCTCCTTCAGGTGCCTACAGCAAACATTGTCTGACACCTGCTCCAGCTGTGCTCAGTGAGTCTGTGGGAGGTTTTTGCTGGTTAAAGAGGACCGAGTCCTTCAGCAAAGACAAGGCCTTTAGTTCTAGTTCTAACGATATCAGACTTTCCAGACAAGATGGGCGGTACCATAACTTGTGGTTCTTCACTAAGTAAAGAAATGGCTTTTATTTCTCTATGGGTAGAAGGTACCACCCAAGGAGGATGGATTTTTAAAGGCAGAAGTGACAAGGTGGCTTCAGTGGGGCTGAGCCAGGACCCTGCCTCAGCACTGGCAAGGTGTGTGTCCTGAGGTGGTGACTGGCAGGGGGCAGGAACTTTACAGAGGTTTTGGTTCATCTACTTGAACCATCTGGAGCCTCCACATTGAGTGTATTCACATCTAATCCTGCGATGACCAGAAACCACGCTCCTTCCATGCTAGCCTCTGTTGGAAGGGCCCAGGTCATAACTAGGAAGTTCTCACAGATTCCATTGCCTCATCTCATCTTTAGAGGGTTTTTAATATGGAAATATGTGTTACTATTTGTTTGCTGTGAATATTTTGGTTCCCCTTTAAATTTCAATCTCTGCGAAGGTATTTCTTTTGAAAGATAGCTCTATAATTTACAAAGTAATGCTTAACAAACCAACATTTGGTGCAAATACAGGGGTCTTTAAAAGTTGAATCTTTAAGACATGGACACGTGTGCTAACCCTTCATACATGTATTTGGTGAGATGACAAGAAGTGGGGGCAAAAACATCCAACATTATTTTACCAGACTTCAGCTGTACAAAACAGCAGGTGCCATTATGACATCACTAAGACACGAGCTTTGCAGCAAGAGCCCAGACCACCTGGACTCTGCTGTCTGTGTGCACC